TTGCACCTGCAATACCTTGAATGAGTTAAAACTGGAAATATCTCAAAAACGGCCAAATATGTGGATAAATCATATTTTGGCAGTAATACAGGTGGGTTTGGCTAACAAAGACCGCCCATTAGCAAGCAGCAGCCCGCGTCGTTCGGGGCTATGTCTGTCCCTAACATTTTGTTGGTGTATTTGGCATGGTTCGCTGACTGGCTGTCAAACAGTAAGCAGACAGTACATACCGAGACCGCTTGGTAACAGGATGAAGACTTTTCTCCTCGAACCAATCCAGACCCTGCAACTTTCTTGTCCGCTGCAGGGCTGAGATTTGGCTGGCTGCCTGAAATGGCGGTTGACGCTCGCGTCACTGAAGGCACAACCTGCTGTACCACATCTGTAGTCCTCTCGCTCCGACTTGACACCATTCTAAATGGTCAAAATCCCAGCTATGAGCCACGCAATCTATACACCCGCAGCAGCTTAGGTAATCGAAAATAACTTTGATCACCAACTCTCCAAGAATGATTATAGGCGGCCCAGAATTATCGGCGGATGACAACAGATACGTATGGGGTATGGGTCTTCCAATACCTGCCATTTGATGAGAGAGTGAACTTCACACCGAAGTAAGCAGATAAAAAAACGACATTGAGCACGGGAGGACGGACATCTATATTAAAAAGAAAACCCCAAAATGAGGGTTACGCCCCAGGCAAAATGCACCTTGCATTTGCCTTGGGAAAAGTCATACAGGTATCCTTAAGCTAAAGGTGAGTGAGTGGCCAGGACTTAAAGTACAGGTACTCACAATGTGTAATACTTTACGACGAAAGAAGCGTACTCACAAGAAGAAGCGAAGAAGTGCAGGTGCTCACAATGTGTAGTGTTTTACGACGGAAGAAGCGTTTATAGCTGTGGTCGACTGGATGACATAATACCACCCAAAGCGATCGACAAAAACTAACATTTTTCCGAACAATGGCATGTTGATTGAGCTCTATCGTAGAATTGTTGCCTGCTTCCATTTATATTGAACCAATATTGCTACCTAGGATGGTAGCCGAGTAGGCAAGACTCTTGGCTTCTGGGTGTCTCATAGCGGCAACGTGCATTCTTTTCACAGCGTTTTATGCACTGTGGCCAACGGTTCCGTAGAGAGGCTAAGACTGTAACTTACTTCTTCACTAGCTTTTTTCGTCAAACGATCATCTGCGAAGTGAAACGGAATCGCGATTAGCTATACTCGGATAAATATATTGCACCATTAATTGGAAGTGGTGTTGTTATTAACAGTCCTACGCTTTTCGGAGCAACATTTAGAATAAGTTTCAGCTTCGTCTGAAATCGTGTGGCCAATGTGTTTGAAAATATGGATGCCGCTACGTTCTTCTACTACTTTAAAAATTTAACGATTCGGAATTTACTCAGACTTACAAGTGGCAAGTGTTTCAGGTTTCAGGTGCACAGATGTATACGGCAGATAATGATGACATTTCATAATGCGCAGTCTTAGACATTCAGATCAAACCTATTCTGTAGCCTGGTTGTTTATCACTCTGTTATGCTGATGAAGAACCAGTCCTCCTGACTTTATAATGACTTTCATAATATGACAGCTATCCATTCAACAAAAACTTATCAACTTATAAATATTCTACCATCGTCTCCCCATTCAAAAAGTAAATTTTTCGCCACGTATTTTTTACCCTGGGAGACTTCTACGAAGCCGAGACTTTTCTATGGGCCCCATGGAAGGCTCGTGCCAACGTCGTGTTGTGTCATAGGGTTACACCAATATGAGCCGGACTGCAAGCAGTGAAAAGCGACAGCATTGCTTTCTCCTGTGCGTGTTCGGATGGCAAATTATGTTTTAAAAGACATCCTTAGTCTTATCTGAAATAGAATGACCTGCAAACTTTTGAATGACCTGGAAACGCGTAATCCTTTCAACTATAGCTGACTGACGATGGACGTGATGGCTTTAGTATGCCATTCGAGACCTGCTGCCTCAGTGCTCGCCGGATAGCTACGGAACTTGTCAAATGGAAAGTGTTTCACCTAGTAATACCGCCATCAACGTTTAACAGATGCCGGACCACCGAGAGAGGACGCCCATAGAAAGGCCCGAGCCTTCCTAGCGTATCTGTCAACTTCCACGTACAGCACGGTCAGCATCACGACAACTGGCGCATTCTACACATGTGTCTCAGGCGAGTATCCGACGCCACCTCTACCCCAGCGTGTTGGTGGCCCTGTGTACATCTTGGTCTTACCGCCAGGTGTGGCATCGGATCGGCGTGCTGAAGAAAGCGCGGTGCTCCCCCGATGAGTGCGGTCAGTGCTCGGTGCGTTAATTGCGCCTCACCGACATCATGGGAGGTCCAGCATCACCAGGGCTGTGCTTGTCGACCTGGACACGCGCCGCCAGAGAGCCTCCCAATAGAACTGTCTATCACATGTGCAACGATGCAGTCGGGGGAGGCGTCCGTCGCCAAGGTCAACGAGTCGGGTC